AATAAAGAAAAAAGACATAAAGAAGCGATTTCTGATATTCTTCACGGCAGTTCTAAATATAAATGTGTTTTAGCCCTCTTAAGCAGCCTTCCTCAACCTTTTGACCCTGGAGCAACCCTTGAACTATTTTTCAGGCCTCAGGGAAGCCCTGAACATCCAGGCTCAAAGATGGGCTGAAATTGTTTCATGCATAGACTTGAAGAGATGCATTAATAGTGTTCTTACACTAAATATAAAAAAGGAAACTTTCCTTTTCAGTGTGATCCCTGTGCTTTCTTTTTCCTGCAAAAATATTCAAATCTACGCCAAATTTGAGATAAGAAAATACAGATTTTGTCTTCAAGTAGAATAAGACAATTTCATTCTTTGCTTTTGATGCTTCTGAAATAAGACTGAGCTTGTTGTCAGGAGTTGAAAACAGCAGCCAAATATTTTGGGCCTTCCTGTGAATGGCAGGAGATTCTTCTTGGGCAGAAATCCAGAACTATTTTTCCCAGGGGGAGATCAGGGAATCTCCTCTCGAGGGAAGGATCAGACTGCAGCTCACGAGGATCTTCCTCTTCCTCCAAAGGGAATTTCTCAGGCTGAGCAGAAGATTCAGAGAAAGGATCCCTCACCCGTCGTTCCTGGGTGTGGAAAGGGAGGGAAAAGACCTGTCAGTTTAGTTCAACTGTACTTACAGGTAGTTTCTCCTTAGATTTGAGAGTTTCTGGCGTCCTTTCTCTCTCTCAAGGCCAAACAGAAGTAGAAACATTTCAGGATTTCCATTTGTTTTTTTTGGTTTTTCAAACATCCAGTGTTCTCCTTAAATCCAAGAATCTGGTCACTTGCAGAGCCTGTAAACTTCAAGGTCCTTCAAAGGCCATTAACCCTTTGGGTGTCCAGATCAGACTGGGCCACTTGCTGCTGCGGCTGAGGAAAATATTCCTTTGTGTCCCTCCGAGGCTTCATTCCCTCTTTGCACTAAACCCTGGTTTGTTTCAGGTTAGCCCAAAGTGGAAACCAGCCCTTGTGATGGTGCTATTTGTGCACATAGACCAATATTTATGGTCACAGGGATCCCTGCAACCTTTTGAGTAGATCGACCAGATCCTCTTTGAGGCCATGAGATTCTCAGTCCCTCTTAGCATCAGCAGATTCAGGCAACTTTTCTCTCTCTGTGGGATCCCTTCCTTTCCCCCCAAGAGTCTCCCCTGCAGAGGAACAGCAGAAGGAAAGAAGGAAGTGTCTCCGTCCCTCCGTTTATTCTGTGACTCCCCCTTTTCTGGGTCTCCCTTGGGATCCTCTGCTGTCTTTTCCAGCTTCTCCTTCTTCCTGGGGAGGTTCAGGGGCTCCATCCTGGGGGGGAAATGCAGGGAGGGAGGTCGAGGGAGGGGAGAAGGGCGGCTAGTGATGGGGGCTTTCTTTCCCTTGAACTCTAGGGAGGAAATGGGGGTGTCAGTGCCTGTGTCAAGGTCCCTGCAAGGAGGGAGGGTCTCTGTCTATCTTCAGGACTCCCCAAACCATTTTCCTGTCCCTATTTCAGGCTTTCACATAATACAGGAGATGTATGGCTGCGAACTCCAGAAAGACGGGAGCAAAAAAGGGTTTATACAGGACGGATATGATGGGAGGGACTTCATCTCCTTTGACAAGGAGACCCTCACCTGGGTGGCTCCCATCCCCCAGGCCCAGATCACCAAGAGGAAATGGGATGGTATTCCAGCACGGAATCAGTACTTTAAGTCCTACCTGGAGAAGGAATGCATTGACTGGATAAAGAAGTACCTGTCCTACGGGAAAGAGACGCTGCTGAGGACAGGTGAGCATCTGGATCCAGGCTGGACTTTCCTCCTTGATGGCCGGATTTCTCTGACACATTCAGCCCCTTTGGGTCCCTTGTCTGGAGCCTGTTTGCCCTGGTGGGAATCCTCCTCCTCCTCCCCTTCCAGCCCCTCTTGCAGGACACGGGAAGCCCTGTTGGGTTCCCATTGCCAGGCAGCCATTCGGTGGACCAGGAAATGCAGCCTCTCCCTGGCAGGAAAAGCCCTTCCGGGTGTCCTGTTCACTGCCCACAATGAGGCAACCATTTGGGGCTATTCAGGGAAACCCCCATTAGCCCAACGGTAGTCAAGAGTGATGGGCTCCCTTAATCTCCCCCCATGAACTCTCCTTCCCCCCACATCCCACGGGGGGCTCCCTCCCAGTCTTGCACCCGATTGGGGGGCCTCCCATGCCCACCATTGTGGGGGCTCCTCTTCCGCCCTTCATAAGACATCATCAGAGCCCCCACTTGGGCAAAGAAGCCCATGGATGAGGGGTTCTCTTTCCAGGGTGGGGGGATCCCCCATAGTTTTTGTAGATCTTTCCCTTAAACCTCAAACAGGTTCCCTCAATTCTGACTTAGTGAGTCTTTCCTCAAAACGGCCCCCTCCCCCCCTTCAGGAACACCCCCTCCCCCCACAGGGGGTTCACATTATGACCTTTTCCTGTCATTTGTTATTAATTCCCCATCTAGACCACCCCTCCCCCTCTTGGCTCTTTGATCCCTCCAGGATCAGCTGGTTGAGATTAGGATCAAGGGGGGAATCCTCCCCCCCCCAGATTGCCAACAGCCCCTCCCTGCCAGGGGGGACCTTCTCTCTCTTCCATTGGCATCACCTCCCTCTGCCCCTCCCCCTTTTGAGAGACAAAATCTGTTTTCCAAACAGATCAGTGAGAAATTCCGAAATCCCTGAGCCCCTTTTTCCTCTGATTCCGGCTCTCTTGCTCACAACATTGTGGTTCTGTCCCTTGGAAAGAGGCCTGGAGCAGCCTCAGATTCTGGGGAGCAGAAGAGGAACCAAGAAGTAGGGAGCAACTTCTGCGTTGTTGTGGTTG